CAAACCCAGATCTGGGTACTATAATGAGAGGGAGCCAAAAAACATGAAACAAAATAAAAAAATAAAATCATGATGTGGCTTGGAAGGAACCGACCCGTCCGATTAGAAGGACTGGATGGAACCGACGACGCTGTTGTCACCGGCTGTATTTCCAGGGTTTCCATTTGAGGTTGGAGCCAAGAAATTTGGACTACACAGCAGTGGGAGCACTATGTTATCTTGATGCTTTTCAGACCCGATCACCTGCCTTGGAGCTTCCGGTCGATGCTCAAGGCTCCGATTGACGCTTCCATGGCGGCGACTGTTGTCTGGAGGACGGATCAAGTCACTGTTTTAGTTTCCCCAAGATCTTGAACCCTCCTGATCTGTAAATCTTTCACCTACCTTCGGTAACAATTTTGAGAAAAACCCAGATCTGGGTTTTTCTCAAACCCAGATTTGGGTTTCATCATAGACGTTCCCAATGTTGCTTTGCCTTTACTTTATTGTCACTTTCTTTATCATCCATTTGGTTCTTGATTCCTTTTGGCAGGCTGTAGGATTAGGCTTTCGATAACCAATTCCAGTTGTTTGATACAACAAACTCAGACGGAACATCGGTGGTGTTGTCAAAGAGTTCTATGCTCGATTCACTTCTTTGCTGGAGTTTTCTCAAACTTCTGGTGATCTTTCCTCATAAACTCTCGCCATTTTCCTTTCCTCATCAACAAATTCCTACAGTACGCCATTGCCTACTTCTATTTGGGTTTGAGAAATTGAATAGTCTGCTTGATTCACTTCTTTGCTTGAGTCCATGTGATGTAATGCTCAAAACTGTTATTTTGTGGTTCTGTTGTTTGGAATTTGTTGTGGCAAAGATGCTCTTTCTAAGGTATTTGGTTTGGATTTTTGTAGATCTACAACTATAAGGTTTGGTTTGGATTTGGGACCACTGGAGGGAAGGTTATGCAGATGAAGAAGATTGCCTCTTTTCTCGCTCATGTCGGCGCCAAAACTTCTTGTGAATATTGTGTATTTTTGTTTTGAATTTGATCCATTGTGAAATTTAGTGTGCATTTAGCTAGATCTGGCAACTCTTAGGTATAGAAATTTTGTTTGGCTGCTAGGAAAGTGGTAGGAACTAAGAAAATTTATTATTTGATTCTGGGATTTTTTTGGGCCACAATTTTTATTTCCTAAATAGCTCTCTTAAGAACAATCATTTTAGATTTGGTAAATGGGATGTTCTTGCAAATATTAATGGTCTGTCTAATCTATTGTTTCCATTGTATCTGGTAAGAATGGATTATGGATTTGATACCTTCAATTGCTTGTTCAATTCTAAAGCCTAGATCTGGGTTTAAGAGAGGAAGAAGAAGGGAGAAGAGAGAGAGAGAAAGAAGAAGAAGGACGAGCAGAGAAAGATAGGAGGAAAGGAGGAAGAAGATGAAGTTTGAGAGAGAACCCAGATTTGGGTTTACAGAGGTAAGGGAAAAGGAAAGGTAAAGGAGAGAGAAAGTGAAAGAGGAAGAAGAAGAAGAGATGACGTGGATGGAGAAAAAGGATATCAAAAATTTTAAATTAAATAAAAATGCCACCTCGTAAGAAAAAGATGGCCAACTGTGTTTTTTTTTTCCATGTCATTAATCAAGCAAAAAAGAATTGATTTTGTGGCATTTTAACGTGCCACCTGTCATTTAATTGACGGAAGGATAATTTTGGTATTGAAAATGAAAGTTTAAGGATAATTTTGATACTTTTTAAAGGTGAGGGACAATTTTGGTACCAAAGTGAAAAGTTGAGGGACCAAAATG